AGATATTACGTAAGAGGTGGCCAAATTACGGCCAATTTTCACATTAAAACTGCGACTTGGCTGCGTTCAGATTGCAGTCTCCATTGGAGGACTTGGTTCGAATCCCACTTCTGACAGAGGTTTTGAGTAAACCTAATGAAGTGCCTCAATTCGGGCCACTATTTTTACATTGTGATTCCAATTCCCGGCCACATTGTGACGGAAGCTGCATTGGCCGGCCTCCCTCGGTACAGAAGAGAATTCTACCACTAAGTGTGCTAAAGTGTATGCTGCATTGGCCGGGAATCGAACCCGGGCCTCCCGCGTGGCAGGCGAGAATTCTACCACTGAACCACCAATGCCTGTTTCTACAGGTGTTTTGGATCCCGTCATGTCTCAACCTCATATTTAAAATTGTAGGACTGAAAGTATTTGCTCATGACGAGGAATGCTCAATTAGTTTGTGTTCCTCGTTAGTATAGTGGTCAGTATCCCCCCTGTCACGCGGGAGACCGGGGTTCAATTCCCCGACGGGGAGAAGAGGGAGTTTGCTGACACTCCCCAACACAATCAATGGCACATTATACTTGGACAACACGGCATCTGTGCAGAAGAAGCCACTGATGTTTTAATTCAAGCCATTGATCAACTCTGGTGAACGTGTAAATTTCATGTCAGGATGTCCGAGCCGTCTAAGGCGCTGCGTTCAGGTCGCAGTCTCCCCTGGAGGCGTGGGTTCGAATCCCACTTCTGACAGTTTTTGAGTAAACCTAATGAAGCGCCTCAATTCGGGCCACTATTTTTACATTGTGATTCGAAGGGGATATAGAGAGTGAGTTGTCCTGTGTCAATCTCACGTTTAGACTTGTGCGACTCACATTTACCAGATATTACGTAAGAGGTGGCCAAATTACGGCCAATTTTCACATTAAAACTGCGACTTGGCTGCGTTCAGATTGCAGTCTCCATTGGAGGACTTGGTTCGAATCCCACTTCTGACAGAGGTTTTGAGTAAACCTAATGAAGTGCCTCAATTCGGGCCACTATTTTTACATTGTGATTCCAATTCCCGGCCACATTGTGACGGAAGCTGCATTGGCCGGCCTCCCTCGGTACAGAAGAGAATTCTACCACTAAGTGTGCTAAAGTGTATGCTGCATTGGCCGGGAATCGAACCCGGGCCTCCCGCGTGGCAGGCGAGAATTCTACCACTGAACCACCAATGCCTGTTTCTACAGGTGTTTTGGATCCCGTCATGTCTCAACCTCATATTTAAAATTGTAGGACTGAAAGTATTTGCTCATGACGAGGAATGCTCAATTAGTTTGTGTTCCTCGTTAGTATAGTGGTCAGTATCCCCGCCTGTCACGCGGGAGACCGGGGTTCAATTCCCCGACGGGGAGAGAGGGAGTTTGCTGACACTCCCCAACACAATCAATGGCACATTATACTTGGACAACGCGGCGTCTGTGCAGAAGAAGCCACTGATGTTTTTATTGGTTTTAATTCAAGCCAACGGTCAACTCTGGTAAAGGTGCAAATTCCATGTCAGGATGGCCGAGCGGTCTAAGGCGCTGCGTTTAGGTCGCAGTCTCCCCTGGAGGCGTGGGTTCGAATCCCACTTCTGACAGTGTTTAAGCAAACCTAATGAAGTGCCTCAATTCGGGCCAATTTTATTACATTGTGATTCGAAAGGGATCTAAAGAGTGTCTTCCTGTGTCAATCTCACATTGACCAGATATTCCGCAAGAGGTGGCCGAATTACGGCCAGTTTTCACATTACAATTGCGACTTGGCTGTGGTAAAGAGTGTGTCTTCCTGTGTCAATCTCACATTGACCAGATATTCCGCAAGAGGTGGCCAAATTACGGCCAATTTTCACATTAAAACTGCGACTTGGCTGCGTTCCGATCGCAGTCTCCCTTGGAGGACTTGGTTCGAATCCCACTTGTGACAGAGGTTTTGAGTAAACCTAATGAAGTGCCTCAATTCGGGCCAATTTTTTTACATTGTGATTCGGAAGGGATCTAAATAGCGTCTTCCTGTGTCAATCTCACATTGACCAGATATTCCGCAAGAGGTGGCCGAATTATGGCCAGTTTTCACATTACAACTGCGACTTGGCTGCGTTAAAGAGTGTGTCTTCCTGTGGCAATCTCACATTGACCAGATATTCCGCAAGAGGTGGCCAAATTACACATTACAACTGCGACTTGGCTGCGTTCAGATTGCAGTCTCCATTGGAGGACTTGGTTCGAATCCCACTTCTGACAGAGGTTTTGAGTAAACCTAATGAAGTGCCTCAATTCGGGCCACTATTTTTACATTGTGATTCCAATTCCCGGCCACATTGTGACGGAAGCTGCATTGGCCGGCCTCCCTCGGTACTGGAATGTTCAATGCACTTGTGTTCCTCGTTAGTATAGTGGTCAGTATCCCCGCCTATCACGCGGGAGACCGGGGTTCAATTCCCCGACAGGGAGTAGAGGGTTTTTACTGACACTCCCCAACACAATCAATGGCACATTATACTTGGACAACACGGCATCTGTGCAGAAGAATCCACTGATGTTTTAATTCAAGCCAACGATCAACTCTGGTGAACGTGTCAATTCCATGTCAGGATGGCCGAGCGGTCTAAGGCGCTGCGTTCAGGTCGCAGTCTCCCCTGGAGGCGTGGGTTCTAATCCCACTTCTGACAGTTTTTGAGTAAACCTAATGAAGCGCCTCAATACGGGCCACTATTTTTACATTGTGATTCGAAGGGGATATAGAGAGTGAGTTGTCCTGTGTCAATCTCACGTTTAGACTTGTGCGACTCACATTGACCAGATATTACGCAAGAGGTGGTTGAATTATGGCCAGTTTTCACATTACACCTCTTAATCGATCAAACAACTGGGCTCAATTGGCCGGCCATCAGCGGTCTAAAGCGCTGCATTCAGGTAGCAGTCTCCCCTGGAGGCGTGGGTTCGAATCCCACTTCTGACAGTGTTTGAGAAAACCTAATAAACTGCCTCAATTCGGGCCAATTTTTTTACATTGTGATTCGGAAGGGATCTAAAGAGTGTCTTCCTGTGTCAATCTCACATTGCCCAGATATTCCGCAAGAGGTGGCCGAATTACGGCCAGTTTTCACATTACAATTGCGACTTGGCTGTGGTAAAGAGTGTGTCTTCCTGTGTCAATCTCACATTGACCAGTTTTTTCTACAAGAGGTGGCCAAATTACGGCCAATTTTCACATTACAACTGCGACTTGGCTGCGTTCAGATCACAGTTGGTTCGAATCCCACTTCTGACAGAGTTTTGAGTAAACCTAATGATGGCCTCAATTCGGGCCTCTATTTTTACATTGTGATTTCGACTCCCGGCCACAATGTGACGGAAGCTGCATTCGCCGGGGAATCGGAACCGGCCACCCTCACTACAGAAGAGAACTCTACCACTAAGTGTGCTAAAGCAGATGCTGCATTGGCCGGGAATCGAACCCGGGCCTCCCGCTGGCAGGCGAGAATTCTACCACTGAACCACCAATGCCTGTTTCTACAGGTGTTTTGGATCCCGTCATGTCTCAACCTCATATTTAAAATTGTAGGACTGAAAGTATTTGCTCATGACGAGGAATGCTCAATTTGTTTGTGTTCCTCGTTAGTATAGTGGTCAGTATCCCCGCCTGTCACGCGGGAGACCGGGGTTCAATTCCCCGACGGGGAGAAGAGGGATTTTGCTGACACTCCCCAACACAATCAATGGCACATTACACTTGGACAACACGGCATCTGTGCAGAAGAAGCCACTGATGTTTTAATTCAAGCCAACGATCAACTCTGGTGAACTTGTAAATTCCATGTCAGGATGGCCGAGCGGTCTAAGGCGCTGCGTTCAGGTCGCAGTCTCCCCTGGAGGCGTGGGTTCGAATCCCACTTCTGACAGTTTTTGAGTAAACCTAATGAAGCGCCTCAATTCGGGCCACTATTTTTACATTGTGATTCGAAGGGGATATAGAGAGTGAGTTGTCCTGTGTCAATCTCACGTTTAGACTTGTGCGACTCACATTGACCAGATATTCCGCAAGAGGTGGCCAAATTACGGCCAATTTTCACATTAAAATTGCGACTTGGCTGCGTTCCGATCGCAGTCTCCCTTGGAGGACTTGGTTCGAATCCCACTTGTGACAGAGGTTTTGAGTAAACCTAATGAAGTGCCTCAATTCGGGCCACTATTTTTACATTGTGATTCCAATTCCCGGCCACATTGTGACGGAAGCTGCATTGGCCGGCCTCCCTCGGTACAGAAGAGAATTCTACCACTAAGTGTGCTAAAGTGTATGCTGCATTGGCCGGGAATCGAACCCGGGCCTCCCGCGTGGCAGGCGAGAATTCTACCACTGAACCACCAATGCCTGTTTCTACAGGTGTTTTGGATCCCGTCATGTCTCAACCTCATATTTAAAATTGTAGGACTGAAAGTATTTGCTCATGACGAGGAATGCTCAATTAGTTTGTGTTCCTCGTTAGTATAGTGGTCAGTATCCCCGCCTGTCACGCGGGAGACCGGGGTTCAATTCCCCGACGGGGAGTAGAGGGTTTTTACTGACACTCCCCAACACAATCAATGGCACATTATACTTGGACAACACGGCATCTGTGCAGAAGAATCCACTGATGTTTTAATTCAAGCCAACGATCAACTCTGGTGAACGTGTCAATTCCATGTCAGGATGGCCGAGCGGTCTAAGGCGCTGCGTTCAGGTCGCAGTCTCCCCCTGGGAGGCGTGGGTTCTAATCCCACTTCTGACAGTTTTTGAGTAAAACCTAATGAAGCGCCCTCAATACGGGCCACTATTTTTACATTGTGATTCGAAGGGGATATAGAGAGGTGAGTTGTCCTGTGGTCAATCTCACGTTTAGACTTGTGCGACTCACATTGACCAGATATTATCAAGAGGTGGTTGAATTATGGCCAGTTTTCACATTACACCCTCTGTAATCGATCACACTAACTGGGCTCAATTGGCCCGGCCATCAGCGGTCTAAAGCCCTGCATTCAGGTAGCAGTCTCCCCTGGAGGCGTGGGTTCGAATCCCACCTTCTGACAGTGTTTGAGAAAACCTAATAAACTGCTCAATTCGGGCCAATTTTTTTACATTGTGATTCGGAAGGGATCTAAAGAGTGTCTTCCTGTGTCCAATCTCACATTGCCCCAGATATTCCGGCAAGAGGGTGGCCGAATTACGGCCAGTTTTCACATTACAATTGCGACTTGGCTGTGGTAAAGAGTGTGTCTTCCTGTGTCAATCTCACATTGACCAGTTTTTTCTACAAGAGGTGGCCAAATTACGGCCAATTTTCACATTACAACTGCGACTTGGCTGCGTTCAGATCACAGTTGGTTCGAATCCCACTTCTGACAGAGGTTTTGAGTAAACCTAATGAAGTGCCTCAATTCGGGCCTCTATTTTTACATTGTGATTTCGACTCCCGGCCACAATGTGACGGAAGCTGCATTCGCCGGGGAATCGGAACCGGCCACCCTCACTACAGAAGAGAACTCTACCACTAAGTGTGCTAAAGCAGATGCTGCATTGGCCGGGAATCGAACCCGGGCCTCCCGCGTGGCAGGCGAGAATTCTACCACTGAACCACCAATGCCTGTTTCTACAGGTGTTTTGGATCCCGTCATGTCTCAACCTCATATTTAAAATTGTAGGACTGAAAGTATTTGCTCATGACGAGGAATGCTCAATTTGTTTGTGTTCCTCGTTAGTATAGTGGTCAGTATCCCCGCCTGTCACGCGGGAGACCGGGGTTCAATTCCCCGACGGGGAGAAGAGGGATTTTGCTGACACTCCCCAACACAATCAATGGCACATTACACTTGGACAACACGGCATCTGTGCAGAAGAAGCCACTGATGTTTTAATTCAAGCCAACGATCAACTCTGGTGAACTTGTAAATTCCATGTCAGGATGGCCGAGCGGTCTAAGGCGCTGCGTTCAGGTCGCAGTCTCCCCTGGAGGCGTGGGTTCGAATCCCACTTCTGACAGTTTTTGAGTAAACCTAATGAAGCGCCTCAATTCGGGCCACTATTTTTACATTGTGATTCGAAGGGGATATAGAGAGTGAGTTGTCCTGTGTCAATCTCACGTTTAGACTTGTGCGACTCACATTTACCAGATATTACGTAAGAGGTGGCCAAATTACGGCCAATTTTCACATTAAAACTGCGACTTGGCTGCGTTCCGATCGCAGTCTCCCTTGGAGGACTTGGTTCGAATCCCACTTGTGACAGAGGTTTTGAGTAAACCTAATGAAGTGCCTCAATTCAGGCCAATTTTTTTACATTGTGATTCGGAAGGGATCTAAATAGCGTCTTCCTGTGTCAATCTCACATTGACCAGATATTCCGCAAGAGGTGGCCGAATTATGGCCAGTTTTCACATTACAACTGCGACTTGGCTGCGTTAAAGAGTGTGTCTTCCTGTGGCAATCTCACATTGACCAGATATTCCGCAAGAGGTGGCCGAATTACACATTACAACTGCGACTTGGCTGCGTTCAGATTGCAGTCTCCATTGGAGGACTTGGTTCGAATCCCACTTCTGACAGAGGTTTTGAGTAAACCTAATGAAGTGCCTCAATTCGGGCCACTATTTTTACATTGTGATTCCAATTCCCGGCCACATTGTGACGGAAGCTGCATTGGCCGGCCTCCCTCGGTACAGAAGAGAATTCTACCACTAAGTGTGCTAAAGTGTATGCTGCATCGAACCCGGGCCACCCGCGTGGCAGGCGAGAATTCTACCACTGAACCACCAATGCCTTTTTTCGCTGGTGTTTTGGATCCCGTCATGTCTCAACCTCATATTTAAAATTGTAGGACTGAAAGTATTTGATCGTGACGAGGAATGTTCAATGCACTTGTGTTCCTCGTTAGTATAGTGGTCAGTATCCCCGCCTGTCACGCGGGAGACCGGGGTTCAATTCCCCGACGGGGAGGAGAGGGTTTTTTACTGACACTCCCCAACACAATCAATGGCACATTATACTTGGACAACACGGCATCTGTGCAGAAGAAGCCACTGATGTTTTAATTCAAGCCATTGATCAACTCTGGTGAACGTGTAAATTTCATGTCAGGATGTCCGAGCGGTCTAAGGCGCTGCGTTCAGGTCGCAGTCTCCCCTGGAGGCGTGGGTTCGAATCCCACTTCTGACAGTTTTTGAGTAAACCTAATGAAGCGCCTCAATTCGGGCCACTATTTTTACATTGTGATTCGAAGGGGATATAGAGAGTGAGTTGTCCTGTGTCAATCTCACGTTTAGACTTGTGCGACTCACATTGACCAGATATTCCGCAAGAGGTGGCCAAATTACGGCCAATTTTCACATTAAAATTGCGACTTGGCTGCGTTCCGATCGCAGTCTCCCTTGGAGGACTTGGTTCGAATCCCACTTGTGACAGAGGTTTTGAGTAAACCTAATGAAGTGCCTCAATTCGGGCCACTATTTTTACATTGTGATTCCAATTCCCGGCCACATTGTGACGGAAGCTGCATTGGCCGGCCTCCCTCGGTACAGAAGAGAATTCTACCACTAAGTGTGCTAAAGTGTATGCTGCATTGGCCGGGAATCGAACCCGGGCCTCCCGCGTGGCAGGCGAGAATTCTACCACTGAACCACCAATGCCTGTTTCTACAGGTGTTTTGGATCCCGTCATGTCTCAACCTCATATTTAAAATTGTAGGACTGAAAGTATTTGCTCATGACGAGGAATGCTCAATTAGTTTGTTTTCCTCGGTAGTATAGTGGGCAGTATCCCCCCCTGTCACGCGGGAGGACACCGGGGTTCAATTCCCCGACGGGGAGAAGAGGGAGTTTGCTGACACTCCCAACACAATCAATGGGCACCATTATACTTGGAGCAACGAGGCGTCTGTGCAGAAGAAGCCACTTGATGTGTTTATTGGTTTTAATTCAAGCCAAACGGTCAACTCTGGTAGAGGTGCAAATTCCATGTCAGGATGGCCGAGCGGTCTAAGGGCGCTGCGTTTAGGTCGAAGTATCCCCTGGAGGCGTGGTGTCGAAGCCCACTTCTGACATTGTTTTAAGCAAACCTAATGAAGGTGCCCTCAATTCGGCGCCATTTTATTACATTGTGATTCGAAGGGATCTGGAAAGAGTGTCTTCCTGTGTCAATCTCACATTGACCAGATATTCCGCAAGAGGTCGGCCGGAAGTACGGCCAGTTTTCACATTACATTGCGACTTGGCTGTGTAAAGAGTGTGTCTTCCTGTGTCAATCTCCACATTGACCAGATATTCCGCAAGAGGTGGCCAAATTACGGCCAATTTTCACATTAAAACTGCGACTTGGCTGCGTTCCGATCGCAGTCTCCTTGGAGGACTTGGCTTCGAAATCCCACTTGTGACAGAGGTTTGAGTAAACCTAATGAAGTGCCTCAATTCGGCATTTTTTTACATTGTGATTCGGAAGGGATCTAAATAGCGTCTTCTGTGTCAATCTCACATTGACCAGATATTCCGCAAGAGGTGGCCGAATTTATGGCCAGGTTTTCACATTACAACTGCGACTGGCTGCGCTAAAGAGTGTGTCTTACTGTGCGAATCTCACATTGACCAGATATTCGCAAGAGGTGGCCAAATTACACATTACAACTCTGCGACTTGGCTGCGTTCAGATTGCAGTCTCCATTGGAGGACTTGGTTCGAATCCCACTTCTGACAGGTTTTGAGTAAACCTAATGAAGTGCCTCAATTCGGGCCATTTTATTACATTGTGATTCGAAAGGGATCTAAAGAGTGTCTTCCTGTGTCAATCTCACATTGACCAGATATTCCGCAAGAGGTGGCCGAATTACGGCCAGTTTTCACATTACAATTGCGACTTGGCTGTGGTAAAGAGTGTGTCTTCCTGTGTCAATCTCACATTGACCAGATATTCCGCAAGAGGTGGCCAAATTACGGCCAATTTTCACATTAAAACTGCGACTTGGCTGCGTTCCGATCGCAGTCCTCCCTTGGAGGACTTGGTTCGAATCCCACTTGTGACAGAGGTTTTTGAGTAAACCTAATGAAGTGCCCTCAATTCGGGCAATTTTTTTACATTGTGATTCGGAAGGGATCTAAATAGCGGTCCTTCCTGTGTCAATCTCACATTGACCAGATATTCCGCAAGAGGTGGCCGAATTATGGCCAGTTTTCACATTACAACTGCGACTTGGCTGCGTTAAAGAGTGTGTCTTCCTGTGGCAATCTCACATTGACCAGATATTCCGCAAGAGGTGGCCAAATTACACATTACAACTGCGACTTGGCTGCGTTCAGATTGCAGTCTCCATTGGAGGACTTGGTTCGAATCCCACTTCTGACAGAGGTTTTGAGTAAACCTAATGAAGTGCCTCAATTCGGGCCACTATTTTTACATTGTGATTCCAATTCCCGGCCACATTGTGACGGAAGCTGCATTGGCCGGCCTCCCTCGGTACTGGAATGTTCAATGCACTTGTGTTCCTCGTTAGTATAGTGGTCAGTATCCCGCCTGTCACGCGGGAGACCGGGGTTCAATTCCCCGACGGGGAGAAGAGGGTTTTTACTGACACTCCCCAACACAATCAATGGCACATTATACTTGGACAACACGGCATCTGTGCAGAAGAATCCACTGATGTTTTAATTCAAGCCAACGATCAACTCTGGTGAACGTGTTCAATTCCATGTCAGGATGGCCGAGCGGTCTAAGGCGCTGCGTTCAGGTCGCAGTCCTCCCCTGGAGGCGTGGGTTCTAATCCCACTTCTGACAGTTTTTGAGTAAACCTAATGAAGCGCCTCAATACGGGCCACTATTTTTACCATTGTGATTCGAAGGGGATATGAGAGTGAGTTGTCCTGTGTCAATCTCACGTTTAGACTTGTGCGACTCACATTGACCAGATATTACGCAAGAGGTGGTTGAATTATGGCCAGTTTTCACATTACACCTCTTAATCGATAAAAACTGGGCTCATATTGGCCGGCCCATCAGCGGTCTAAAGCGCTGCATTCAGGTAGCAGTCTCCCTGGAGGCGTGGGTTCGAATCCCACTTCTGACAGTGTTTGAGAAAACTAATAAACTGCCTCAATTCGGGCAAATTTTTTACATTGTGATTCGGAAGGGATCTAAAGAGTGTCTTCCTGTGTCAATCTCACATTGCCCAGATATTCCGCAAGAGGTGGCCGAATTACGGCCAGTTTTCACATTACAATTGCGACTTGGCTGTGGTAAAGAGTGTGTCTTCCTGTGTCAATCTCACATTGACCAGTTTTTTCTACAAGAGGTGGCCAAATTACGGCCAATTTTCACTTTACAACTGCGACTTGGCTGCGTTCAGATCACAGTTGGTTCGAATCCCACTTCTGACAGAGGTTTTGAGTAAACCTAATGAAGTGCCTCAATTCGGGCCTCTATTTTTACATTGTGATTTCGACTCCCGGCCACATGTGACGGAAGCTGCATTCGCCGGGGAATCGGAACCGGCCACCCTCACTACAGAAGAGAACTCTACCACTAAGTGTGCTAAAGCAGATGCTGCATTGGCCGGGAATCGAACCCGGGCCTCCCGCGTGGCCGTGGCAGGCGAGAATCTACCACTGAACCACCAATGCCTGTTTCTACAGGTGTTTTGGATCCCGTCATGTCTCAACCTCATATTTAAAATTGTAGGACTGAAAGTATTTGCTCATGACGAGGAATGCTCAATTTGTTTGTGTTCCTCGTTAGTATAGTGGTCAGTATCCCCGCCTGTCACGTGGGAGACCGGGGTTCAATTCCCGACGGGGAGAAGAGGGATTTTGCTGACACTCCCCCAACACAATCAATGGCACATTACACTTGGACAACACGGCATCTGTGCAGAAGAAGCCACTGATGTTTTAATTCAAGCCAACGATCAACTCTGGTGAACTTGTAAATTCCATGTCAGGATGGCCGAGCGGTCTAAGGCGCTGCGTTCAGGTCGCAGTCTCCCCTGGAGGCGTGGGTTCGAATCCCACTTCTGACAGTTTTTGAGTAAACCTAATGAAGCGCCTCAATTCGGGCCACTATTTTTACATTGTGATTCGAAGGGGATATAGAGAGTGAGTTGTCCTGTGTCAATCTCACGTTTAGACTTGTGCGACTCACATTTACCAGATATTACGTAAGAGGTGGCCAAATTACGGCCAATTTTCACATTAAAACTGCGACTTGGCTGCGTTCCGATCGCAGTCTCCCTTGGAGGACTTGGTTCGAATCCCACTTGTGACAGAGGTTTTGAGTAAACCTAATGAAGTGCCTCAATTCAGGCCAATTTTTTTACATTGTGATTCGGAAGGGATCTAAATAGCGTCTTCCTGTGTCAATCTCACATTGACCAGATATTCCGCAAGAGGTGGCCGAATTATGGCCAGTTTTCACATTACAACTGCGACTTGGCTGCGTTAAAGAGTGTGTCTTCCTGTGGCAATCTCACATTGACCAGATATTCCGCAAGAGGTGGCCGAATTACACATTACAACTGCGACTTGGCTGCGTTCAGATTGCAGTCTCCATTGGAGGACTTGGTTCGAATCCCACTTCTGACAGAGGTTTTGAGTAAACCTAATGAAGTGCCTCAATTCGGGCCACTATTTTTACATTGTGATTCCAATTCCCGGCCACATTGTGACGGAAGCTGCATTGGCCGGCCTCCCTCGGTACAGAAGAGAATTCTACCAATAAGTGTGCTAAAGTGGTATGCAGCAACGGAACCCTGGGCCGACCCGGCTGGCCGGCGGAGGAATTCATACCACTTAACCACCATTGCCCTTTATTCGCTGGTGTTTTGAGCCCTCGATGTCCCAACCTCATATTTAAAATGAAGGACTGAAAGTATTATGATCGTGACGAGGAATGTTCAATGGCACTTGTTTTCCTCGATGATAGTGTGTCAGTATCCCCCGCCTGTCACGCGGGAGACCGGGGTTCAATTTCCCGGACGGGAGGAGGGAGAGGGTATTATACTGGACACTCCCTACCACAATCAATGGCACATTATACTTGGACAACACGGCATCTGTGCAGAAGAAGCCACTGGATGTTATAATTCAAGCCATTGATCAACTCTGGTGAACCGGTGTAAATTTCATGTCAGGATGTCGAGCGGTCTAAGGCGCTGCGTTCAGGTCGCAGGTCTCCCCTGGAGGCGTGGGTTCGAATCCCACTTCTGACAGTTTTTGAGTAAACCTAATGAAGCGCCCTCAATTCGGGCCCACTATTTTTACATGTGTGATTCCAATTCCCCGGCCACATTGTGACGGAAGCCTGCATTGGCCGGACTCCTCCCTTCGGTATCAGAAGAGAATTCTACCACTAAGTGAGCTTAAAGTGTATGCTGCATGGCCGGGAATCGAACCCGGGGCCATCTCCCGCGTGGGTGGCACGGCGAGAATTCTACACTGAACCATCTCATATGCCTGTTTCTACAGGTGTTTTGGATCCCGTCATGTCTCACCTCTATATTTAAAATTGATAGGACTGAAATGTATTTAGTCAGCAGGGACGATGAGATGCTCAAATTAGGTTTGTGTTCCCTCGTTAGTATAGTGGTCATAGCACCCCGTCCTGTCACAGCGGAGACCGGGTTCAATTCCCCGAACGGGGAGGAAGAGGGAGTTGCTGACACTCCCCAACACTATCAATGGCACCATTATATCATGACAACGCGTGCGTCTGTGCAGAAGAAGCCACAGATGTTTTATTGTTACTAATTCAAGCCAACGGTCCACTCTGGTAAAGGTGCAAATTCCATGTCAGGATGGCCGAGCGGTCTAAGGCGCTGCGTTTAGGTCGCAGTCTCCCCTGGAGGCGTGGGTTCGAATCCCACTTCTGACAGTGCAAACCTAATGAAGTGCCTCAATTCGGGCCAATTTTATTACATTGTGATTCGAAAGGGATCTAAAGAGTGTCTTCCTGTGTCAATCTCACATTGACCAGATATTCCGCAAGAGGTGGCCGAATTATGGCCAGTTTTCACATTACAACTGCGACTTGGCTGCGTTAAAGAGTGTGTCTTCCTGTGGCAATCTCACATTGACCAGATATTCCGCAAGAGGTGGCCAAATTACACATTACAACTGCGACTTGGCTGCGTTCAGATTGCAGTCTCCATTGGAGGACTTGGTTCGAATCCCACTTCTGACAGAGGTTTTGAGTAAACCTAATGAAGTGCCTCAATTCGGGCCACTATTTTTACATTGTGATTCCAATTCCCGGCCACATTGTGACGGAAGCTGCATTGGCCGGCCTCCCTCGGTACTGGAATGTTCAATGCACTTGTGTTCCTCGTTAGTATAGTGGTCAGTATCCCCGCCTGTCACGCGGGAGACCGGGGTTCAATTCCCCGACGGGGAGTAGAGGGTTTTTACTGACACTCCCCAACACAATCAATGGCACATTATACTTGGACAACACGGCATCTGTGCAGAAGAATCCACTGATGTTTTAATTCAAGCCAACGATCAACTCTGGTGAACGTGTCAATTCCATGTCAGGATGGCCGAGCGGTCTAAGGCGCTGCGTTCAGGTCGCAGTCTCCCCTGGAGGCGTGGGTTCTAATCCCACTTCTGACAGTTTTTGAGTAAACCTAATGAAGCGCCTCAATACGGGCCACTATTTTTACATTGTGATTCGAAGGGGATATAGAGAGTGAGTTGTCCTGTGTCAATCTCACGTTTAGACTTGTGCGACTCACATTGACCAGATATTACGCAAGAGGTGGTTGAATTATGGCCAGTTTTCACATTACACCTCTTAATCGATGAAACAACTGGGCTCAATTGGCCGGCCATCAGCGGTCTAAAGCGCTGCATTCAGGTAGCAGTCTCCCCTGGAGGCGTGGGTTCGAATCCCACTTCTGACAGTGTTTGAGAAAACCTAATAAACTGCCTCAATTCGGGCCAATTTTTTTACATTGTGATTCGGAAGGGATCTAAAGAGTGTCTTCCTGTGTCAATCTCACATTGCCCAGATATTCCGCAAGAGGTGGCCGAATTACGGCCAGTTTTCACATTACAATTGCGACTTGGCTGTGGTAAAGAGTGTGTCTTCCTGTGTCAATCTCACATTGACCAGTTTTTTCTACAAGAGGTGGCCAAATTACGGCCAATTTTCACATTACAACTGCGACTTGGCTGCGTTCAGATCACAGTTGGTTCGAATCCCACTTCTGACAGAGGTTTTGAGTAAACCTAATGAAGTGCCTCAATTCGGGCCTCTATTTTTACATTGTGATTTCGACTCCCGGCCACAATGTGACGGAAGCTGCATTCGCCGGGGAATCGGAACCGGCCACCCTCACTACAGAAGAGAACTCTACCACTAAGTGTGCTAAAGCAGATGCTGCATTGGCCGGGAATCGAACCCGGGCCTCCCGCGTGGCAGGCGAGAATTCTACCACTGAACCACCAATGCCTGTTTCTACAGGTGTTTTGGATCCCGTCATGTCTCAACCTCATATTTAAAATTGTAGGACTGAAAGTATTTGCTCATGACGAGGAATGCTCAATTTGTTTGTGTTCCTCGTTAGTATAGTGGTCAGTATCCCCGCCTGTCACGGGAGACCGGGGTTCAATTCCCCGAGGGGAGAAGAGGGATTTTGCTGACACTCCCCAACACAATCAATGGCACATTACACTTGGACAACACGGCATCTGTGCAGAAGAAGCCACTGATGTTTTAATTCAAGCCAACGATCAACTCTGGTGAACTTGTAAATTCCATGTCAGGATGGCCGAGCGGTCTAAGGCGCTGCGTTCAGGTCGCAGTCTCCCCTGGAGGCGTGGGTTCGAATCCCACTTCTGACAGTTTTTGAGTAAACCTAATGAAGCGCCTCAATTCGGGCCACTATTTTTACATTGTGATTCGAAGGGGATATAGAGAGTGAGTTGTCCTGTGTCAATCTCACGTTTAGACTTGTGCGACTCACATTTACCAGATATTACGTAAGAGGTGGCCAAATTACGGCCAATTTTCACATTAAAACTGCGACTTGGCTGCGTTCCGATCGCAGTCTCCCTTGGAGGACTTGGTTCGAATCCCACTTGTGACAGAGGTTTTGAGTAAACCTAATGAAGTGCCTCAATTCAGGCCAATTTTTTTACATTGTGATTCGGAAGGGATCTAAATAGCGTCTTCCTGTGTCAATCTCACATTGACCAGATATTCCGCAAGAGGTGGCCGAATTATGGCCAGTTTTCACATTACAACTGCGACTTGGCTGCGTTAAAGAGTGTGTCTTCCTGTGGCAATCTCACATTGACCAGATATTCCGCAAGAGGTGGCCGAATTACACATTACAACTGCGACTTGGCTGCGTTCAGATTGCAGTCTCCATTGGAGGACTTGGTTCGAATCCCACTTGACAGAGGTTTTGAGTAAACCTAATGAAGTGCCTCAATTCGGGCCACTATTTTTACATTGTGATTCCAATTCCCGGCCACATTGTGACGGAAGCTGCATTGGCCGGCCTCCCTCGGTACAGAAGAGAATTCTACCACTAAGTGTGCTAAAGTGTATGCTGCATGGCCGAATCGAACCCGGGCCCCGCGTGGCAGGCGAGAATTCTACCACTGAACCACCAATGCCTTTTTCGCTGGTGTTTTGGATCCCGTCATGTCTCAACCTCATATTTAAAATTGTAGGACTGAAAGTATTTGATCGTGACGAGGAATGTTCAATGCACTTGTGTTCCTCGTTAGTATAGTGTCAGTATCCCCGCCTGTCACGCGGGAGACCGGGGTTCAATTCCCCGACGGGGAGGAGAGGGTTTTTACTGACACTCCCCAACACAATCAATGGCACATTATACTTGGACAAACGGCATCTGTGCAGAAGAAGCCACTGATGTTTTAATTCAAGCCACGATCAACTCTGGTGAAGTGTGTAAACTCATGTCAGGATGCCGAGCGGTCTAAGGCGCTGCGTTCAGGTCGCAGTCTCCCCTGGAGCGTGGGTTCGAATCCCACTTCTGACAGTTTTTGAGTAAACCTAATGAAGCGCCTCAATTCCGGCCACTATTTTTACATTGTGATTCGAAGGGGATATAGAGAGTGAGTTGTCCTGTGTCAATCTTACGTTTAGACTTGTGCGACTCACATTGACCAGATATTACGCAAGAGGTGGTCGAATTATGGCCAGTTTTCACATTACACCTCTTAATCGATCAAACAACTGGGCTCAATTGGCCGGCCATCAGCGGTCTACAGCGCTGCATTCAGGTAGCAGTCTCCCCTGGAGGCGTGGGTTCGAATCCCACTTCTGACAGTGTTTAAGCAAACCTAATGAAGTGCCTCAATTCGGGCCAATTTATTACATTGTGATTCGAAAGGGATCTAAAGAGTGTCTTTCTGTGTCAATCTCACATTGACCAGATATTCCGCAAGAGGTGGCCGAATTACGGCCAGTTTTCACATTACAATTGCGACTTGGCTGTGGTAAAGAGTGTGTCTTCCTGTGTCAATCTCACATTGACCAGATATTCCGCAAGAGGTGGCCAAATTACGGCCAATTTTCACATTAAAACTGCGACTTGGCTGCGTTCCGATCGCAGTCTCCCTTGGAGGACTTGGTTCGAATCCCACTTGTGACAGAGGTTTTGAGTAAACCTAATGAAGTGCCTCAATTCGGGCCAATTTTTTTACATTGTGATTCGGAAGGATCTAAATAGCGTCCTGTGTCAATCTCACATTGACCAGATATTCCGCAAGAGGTGGCCGAATTATGGCCAGTTTTCACATTACAACTGCGACTTGGCTGCGTTAAAGAGTGTGTCTTCCTGTGGCAAATCTCACATTGACCAGATATTCCGCAAGAGGTGGCCAAATTACACATTACAACTGCGACTTGGCTGCGTTCAGATTGCAGTCTCCATTGGAGGACTTGGTTCGAATCCCACTTCTGACAGAGGTTTTGAGTAAACCTAATGAAGTGCCTCAATTCGGGCCACTATTTTTACATTGTGATTCCAATTCCCGCCACATTGTGACGGAAGCTGCATTGGCCGGCCTCCCTCGTACTGGAATGTTCAATGCACTTGTGTTCCTCGTTAGTATAGTGGTCAGTATCCCCGCCTGTCACGCGGGAGACCGGGGTTCAATTCCCCGACGGGGAGTAGAGGGTTTTTTACTGACACTCCCCAACACAATCAATGGCACATTATACTTGGACAACACGGCATCTGTGCAGAAGAATCCACTGATGTTTTAATTCAAGCCAACGATCAACTCTGGTGAACGTGTCAATTCCATGTCAGGATGGCCGAGCGGTCTAAGGCGCTGCGTTCAGGTCGCAGTCTCCCCTGGAGGCGTGGGTTCTAATCCCACTTCTGACAGTTTTTGAGTAAACCTAATGAAGCGCCTCAATACGGGCCACTATTTTTACATTGTGATTCGAAGGGATATAGAGAGTGAGTTGTCCTGTGTCAATCTCACGTTATAGACTTGTGCGACTCACATTGACCAGATATTACGCAAGAGGTGGTTGAATTATGGCCAGTTTTCACATACACCTCTTAATCGATGAAACAACAACTGGCTCAATTGGCCGGCCATCAGCGGTCTAAAGCGCTGCATTCAGGTAGCAGTCTCCCCTGGAGGCGTGGTTCGA